TGTAGCGTTGCATGGGGTTGTTGTGACCCAACTTGGCCTATTAAACCTCATACAGTTGACCTCAGCCCATCGATCCAGCCTGTCCAGATCCCTCTGCAGAGCCCTCCTGCCCTCCAGCAGATTAACACTCCCACCCAGCTTGGTGCTGTCTGTGTTGGCCCATCCTTTAAATAAAGGATAACGAGGCAGTGTGTTCCCTCTTACTCTAATCTGCATCAGACCTGTCTAAGGCAGTGGGTTGTACCGTGTCAGCTGCTAGCATCGGCTGCCTTCTCCTTAGACATTCACAGCAACACTTGGGTGTATCAGATGTCGTTGCCATAAATGACACATTGTGCTCTTGAAAATAAAAATGGAGTCATCCCCACTTGTTCAAAGCACACTTATCTCTCTCCGCATTTATTCTCTCCTTCATGGTACAATAACTGCTGCAAAATTTCCAGTGCGTATATCAAGTTACAGGTTAGTGCAGGCCCCTGTGGTTCTTGGAACGGCATGGGGCTGTTTTTGTTTACCAATGACATTTATCCTCTCATTTCCTTTTGGAAGCATGACAGCTTCTCGCTGCCTGACAGGGAATGTACAGAACCTTCTTTTCATGGCGTGTCTGATGATAAACACTCCACTGCATAGTATCCATGTCTGCTTGCTATGCAGCCACTGTTACTGCTTTCTGCAGTCAGTCTGGCAGGAACTTGGCTGGGCAGGAAAGGAAAAGGGTTTCTAAGTGCAATTATCTTCTGTTACAGGAGGAGACCGGGAGCGGATGACAGCTAATCATGAGACGTACCTTCTTATGGCGAGCACGCAGAATGACATGGAGGATTGGGTGAAATCCATTCGGCGGGTTATATGGGCACCATTTGGAGGAGGTGAGTCAGTGAGGCAACATGCAAGGCTCCCAGATACACAAAGACACATAAGGGCTCTTGTGTCATCTCTCAGTCACAGCCAGAGTTTTGAAGTGAAGAGGAGGAGAATGATCTAGATCTTTCAAAAAAAGTGGAGTAAACCCTTTGTCTTTGGTTGACGTGCAGGTATTGGGCACGTTCCCATGCAGAGGGCTCAATTAAAAAGGCTTTAAACTGTCTGGAAACACTTCCCTTGATAAGGCTAGCGCATTACCAAGGTGAGGGGAAGTTTTGACGGACAGCTGGTCTTCTATGAAATCAGCTTTCCTGCACGGAGAAGTGGGGTAACTCCTTTAGTCACCAGCAAAGACTACCCATGTGTTTCATAAATGCCTGTTACAAGAAGTTGTCAGTGATTCTCCTGGAAGTGAGAGCTAAGACCAGCAGAAATATTATATAAAGCTATGCACTCCAGTATAAGCCTCAGAGTATTAGCACTAGCAGTATAGGATAGATTCTTTTTCTTTTGATTGGCATACCCAATAATTTCAGTAGTACTGGATCAAAATTTATTGTCAGAGGTCTGGTTGTCATGTTGAAAGGCTCACTTGTGTTGAATGGCCTTCAAATTACCATAGTCATTTTAATAATTATTATTCTGGTGATAATATCTATATTATTGTAATATGACTGATACACTTGCATGAAATGTCAGTATGTTAATCAGTCTGTTCCTTGGAGCTCTCAAATCGCCAGGTTCAGGGACAGAAATATTTTTCCGCTGTGAAAGAAGACCCGTATTGCATCAGATGCTTTTTGGTCTTGTCTGGGGGTCACTGGAAAAGTAAGGCAGGCAGGATTGTCTGTGCTGTTTCATGACCGAGAAGCGCAGTTATCACTGAAAACCGTGATTGCTGACCGTATGTGTCTTTTTCTCAACTGCCAGGTAGACCACGGGAGAGAGGGTGGGAGGAACTGAAGGAAACCACCATTTTAAACAAAACTTTTCTTGTAAGCCACCCATCTTCCTTTGTGATTTATTTCTTAAGAGGAGGCTTTGGCCTCGCTGGTGGGCTGCACTGAGGGACTTCGTCAGCTAGGGCCTGCCAGCCACCTCTTCAGACATGACTGTCTTCTCTTTGTCTCCTCCCAGGGAAAGGTGGTCTGGAAAGATGTGCTAAGCAGTCATCTCACTGGGATCTGGCCCTGTACGTTAATAAGCTAGCACAGTCCTGGATCTGGGCATGTAGGTCTTATAGGAGGATGCTTAAAAAAACCAAACCTCAAAACCCACAAAGTGAAAGTTACTCTTAAAAGGTACGATCTTCTACAGGCATATTGAGTTGGTTTGGGAGAGGGGAGGTAGGAGGAGCAGAGTCTCCGGCAATTATGCTAAGTAAGAAATCTGCTTGTTTATATAGCACAGAGATTACCCATCCCCAACTTTTTCTTTGTAAAGCAGGCCTCATGTTGAGCTCCTCAGTGTTGTCTTACTCCTGTCCAGTAGCAGCATAAGCTACTGTGGCAATAATAAATTTGGGAGCAAAGCAGAACTGGATTTTCTGAAGAGTATCTCTGGGGTTTTTTGCAGTTGGCTGCCAGCACCGCAGTATCTTTCTGTGGCACATAATGAGGAAAGGCAACCTTGTAATTCTTCTGCAAGTGGAGAAGTGTCTGGATTTTACAGGCAGGGAGCTGAGATTAGGTGAAACTCCATTTCTAGCCCAAGTCCATGCACAGAGCTACAAATAGAAACCAAATCTCCTGAGTCCTGACCCCATGCTTTCTTTACCACCCCCTCATTTGCTTTTATAGGGCAAGAGTTATTTCTGGTTCACATCTGGGAATCCTTCCAGCTGCCATGAAAATTCTCAGGACACCGTCACTGTTGTAGGAGTGTTTAATGCCAATTATTAAGGGAAGCACCTGACTGAAGACTTTGCATGCTGATTTGCATAAAACAAGAGATGGGTGCAATCCTTGAATTACTGTTTAAGTTCATTTGTAGTTAAAACAGTTCTAGGCATGTTCTTTTTGTTTTTCCTATTGGATTTCTTGAGCAAATACACAGACTCAGGGTTATTTGTATTGGGAAGCAAACAGTTAACTCCCTGGAAAACATGAGAATAGATGGAACATGATTTTGGGTTTAGTGTTCACAGAGAAGGCTTGACCGTGATAACAAGGCAAAAGCAGTATCATGGGATGTGTCACCATTAAAAACGTCCTCCATTTTATTAACTACTTGTTACTCAAGTTGATAGTCTGAGCTACCTTAACAAGTCTTAATAAGCCTTATTAACTGTTCTGTAATTATATATATGGCTGGACACACTCATATTTTTTTTATCCCTTGCTACACGGATGTTGCTACAGCTGCTGCAACAGTCTGACCCTTCTAAAGAAGGGCACTTCTGGCTTAAGATGTCTAAGAGCCTGCCTTTATGAGCTGTAGCCACTGGAGTTAAAAAGCTTTTTATCTGTTGCATTAACTATAAACAAGATACATAAAAGTCACAGTCACATGATGATGAGTAGCCAGTAACAAGTCATTACTTGCAACACGAAATTATTTCAGACAGCTAAATCAATCAAAACACTAGAAATGGAATTTCAGTATTTCATGGTAAACCACAATAGTCTGGTGTCATACAAGTCAAGTGCCACTTTGAGTAACGTATTTGAATTTTCTGATTCTTTTAAGCATTGTAAGCAAGCTGTGCGTGTGTGCGTGCACAATGCAACGGATGTGTCTGAGCCTTGGTGAGCTACTAATATTTAAAGTTTTTCTGGCAGTGGGAAAGGACTCCTGGTACCAGAGCAAGGATCTCTGTAAATGATTAACCGTATCATTAAATTGTTATTTGTTAACCTGCGCTAGAAAGAGAAGGCGGGAGGGGGGCAAGTGGGAATCTGCTAAGGTGATCAGAAACAGCTTGTTTTTTGCACCAAAAGAGTAAGATGACTGTGGAAAAAATTCTGAAATGGAAAAGAAATGTAAATGAGCCAGGGCATGCAATGCCTGTTTGTACATGAAATTCCTTTCCTGATTAGATTAAAAAGGCAATTTTTTTACAGGAGTGAAAGGCCTGAGCTTTAATTGCAGAGCTTGCAACTAAGGGGGAGGGAGGAGGCGAGAAGAAGGAGCATGAGCATTTTAGCAGGGGTAGTAGCGTAAGGTCTGGCACCTCCTGCGGGAGCCAGGCACAGCCTGCTTGCTTTTCAAGCTGCCGCGCACCACAGCCGCCTGAAGTCAACTCAAAGTCACCCGGAGGAGCGGACAGATCTGCGCTGCGGCGGCTCCATCCTCTACATCGTCGCCCTGCACCTGCCG